ACAACTTAAACTGAAAGTTAGACAGTGCAAATAGGTAAGATATTTGTTTAAACACTTGGTGAAAGAAACTGTTCAATTCAGTAGCTATGAAAAACACAATCGAAGGGGTGTGGACATAAGAGAGAAATAGAAAGCCCGCCTCTTGGAATACAGGGCGTAAATATTCAGTCAAGTCTCAGATAGCATTTCAGTAAATAGATATTTCAATGGAACATTTCCAACTTGAGAGCAAATAATTTAAGATGGGTTTAAAATGAGAACGAAGGCTCTCCGTTCCCCTGCCCCTGCCCAGGCCTGTAACCCAGCCTCTGAGTCCCTGCAGCAGTTTGACTCTTTCTTCCTCATCCCCACAACTCCAACTGCAGACTATAATTTTCTTTCCAGCAGGAAACTGATATATACTAATGATGACAGCTGGATTCAGAAGAGGAAAAAGAACACAGGGGACAGAGAGTCCTTGTGGGTTTAAATCACTTTAAAACTCAAAACAAAACCCCCAGATTTGGAATTTTTAAAACCTAGTTAATGGCTAAGGAAACCTCAAATGATTGGGAAGTACTAAGATAAAAGTTTGAATTACACAAAACACATCATTATCTTAAGCTGTTCTAATCATCTTCTCTGCCTTTCCCCTTCACTGATTTTCTCATTGTTTATGCCCCCAGCCCTTCAATGTGGTTCTAAGACATTTTAGAGGTAGGAATAGCCTTCCAAGGTCACATACAGACTAGTATTTGAGAGGAGACGGGCAGATCCTCCATCATCTAAAAAAGCTTCCCAGAAACTGGCATTACTTCATTTCTTTTGTAATAATTAATCTTTAAAATTCATATTTTGATACAGTTATTGTTGAAATATATGTACATACACATATGAATAAAACAGAGTTATGTTGTGTAAAATTAGTAAAAAGGAAAATAAGAGGAAGAAACCCCCCTATAACCATACCATTCTAAAACAACTATTTTTAGCATCGTGCTGCCTTTAACTCTAGTCCCCCACTTCCCACCCGCCACCTCCCAAACCCCCAATAATGGTTATCATAATACCTGGACAAATCTCCCTGCCATTCCATGACTGCATTTTCAGAAAACATTCTTTCCTTGACAAAGAAACTTGGTTCCATAAGGGTCCTAAGGATCCTACAAGGATGTGGGCACAGAAAATGTCACCTTGCCTTTAAAACCACATTACTCTACTCTCTGTCTTATATCCTCCAATGATCTCCTTTGTCTACAGGACCAAGTTCAAGCTCCTTAGACTTTGGCCCATGAAGCCCTCCTTGATTGAGTTCCTGCTTCCCCAGCCTCACTTCTAGCCACAGCTTCCGGTCCCTGGACACAACACTCCAGTGGCACTGTCCTAGTTCTCTGAAAGCTGTGCTGACCTCTGCCTCTGTGGCCTTAGACATGCTCCTCCCTCTGTCTATAATATCTACCTCCACCCCACCCATCTATGAATTTCTACTCATCCTTAAAACTCTGCTCAATCACCTCCTCTTCTGTAAAGTCTTTCCTTCCCTCCCAACTAGAAATAACCTTTCATTCTTCAGTGCCTCAGTTGTGTCCCATACTTCCTTTACAGCGTCTGTGATTCCTTATTGGACCTACTTATAAGACTATAACATATCCATGTGGATCTCCAGATCCAGGTGCTCAACATGTCTAATGTTAGCATGTCATGTCTGATGAAAGAAAAAGTAAGTGAACAACAAGAACAAAATGACCCTTTCCTGGATCAGTCAGAGGGGCAGGAGCATCCCTAATCAAGTGGATTCCAAAGTGGATTCTTGCCATTCTATGCCAGGTGTGCTTCAGTGTTTTCCTTGGAAAGCAGGCATTTCTTCTTTGTTAAAAATGTTTTAACATGAGGAGAAGTGTACAAGTGAGGGATTGAGCATAACTCTGCCAGGCTGCAGGAAATGGATTAGATGCATAGTTTCCTGCCAGTGATAATGATGATGGTAGCTAACAGTAATTGAGCACTTATTCTGCACCACGCAAAGCACATTCTTTATATGGGACTTTATATGTTCAGTTGACAACCACCCTAAGATACAGATCCTATTATATTCCCATTTACAATTGAGAAAAAGTATTTCAAAGAGGTTAAATGACTTGCCTAAGGTCACAAAAAATAGTAAATGGAGGACCTGGGATTCAAACCTAGGGATCTAGCTTCAGAGCCTATGTGGTATATTCCCCTGCTCTGAGCTCTGTGAGCTTTGGAGGTAGACAGACACATATTTTCAAACATGTAGACGTGATATAAGCATTTGATTTGAATTCAGAAAATGAAATTACACCTGATTGATACACAAGTTTAAATAAGGTTTGTATCTCGATGACACCTATAACTATTCTAAAAACTGAAGAAGAGTCTGCATTTCAATCAATCAGTTAAAAACCAATCCATTTAACACAGGCCTGCTACTTGCTTAGCTGGAGGACACAGAATTTAAGGCATGATTCATTCCTTCAAGGCATTTACAAGGTAAAAGTACATTATGATAATATTTTGAAATCATATTTAAATTTACACATCCAAGTAAGTGATTACCTTGTTTGGTGATAACACTTAGCTATTGCTCAGAACTGCCTTTGGAAATAAATCATGAAGCACACAATAACTGATTTAGTGATTTTAAGTTCACAGTTTATTTTTATCCTAAACAGTGCTAACCACCTTCATTGCTATTTTATTTGACAATTGGTGAGTTCTAAAAATCCAATTCATCCTCAAAGGAGGAAAATTTGTTACCACTCTTTGTGTGGGCGTCGCATATGCATACATACATTCATACAGAGAGACACATACATATATATTCTGTGGCTTATGAGGGCAATTCCCAAAGAACTGAAAAAAAAATCAGTACTTGTCTGATAGGAATATATGAGCCATCTATGTAATTTTTGATTTTCTAATAGCCACATTTTAAAAAGTAAAAAGGAACAAGTGGAATTAATTTTAATAGTGCTTTTTATTTAAACCAATAAATCACAAATCTTCCAATATGTAATCAATATTAAAATTATTGAGGAATTTAACTTTTTTTCACACCAAGTCTTTGAAATTCAGTGTGTATTTTATTCTTACAGAATATCTCAACTTGGATCAGCCATATCTCAATTGCTTGAGAGCCACATGTGGCTAGTGACTGCCACACTGGGGAGTGAAGGAGAAGATATTTAAAGCTATGGCTGTCATATTAGAATAAGAGTGAAAGAGCCCCATCCCCTGCCCACTTTAACCTGCAGAGAAATGCCTCCAAGAGGCACAGTTTACATTGATGCATGTGAAATACTGCTGAATAACACACAACAGCTTGTGATCACATTTACTTGGGGTATAAACTCTAAATAATGTACGAGGCTGTGGAAAGGATGATTCCAAAAGGTCAAAGTCACCTTCATGTAGGAGTCCAGCTCATTAGGCAGCTGGTGGAAAGAGAAGGGTATTTTACAATGTTTAAAGGTTAACCCTTCTGGACAAGGAATGATGGTACTGATACACCAAGAAAAACTTAGTTCAAATAAACTAATGATTATAGTCAACCACACACAACTCTGACAGGAGCCCAATGGATGGGTTTGTAAGTAGTAAACAATATGGACAGGGCTCTTTATTTTATTTTTTTGTCTTTTTTTCTTCTTTTTCCTTTATGGACAAGGCTCTTTGGATATTAAGCAGAGAAGTGTTATAAAGCTAAATGAAATTTGGAACTGAAATACAGCAATGGTAGAACTCCAAATGATTTACTTGGTAGCATCTGATTCATAATCTCTTTATAATCTCTGGATCCCAGTTAACTCAAGTGTAAAATAAAGTGGAGGCAACCCTGAGGGCCCTAATAGCTAGGGTGACCTGTGATTTATTGTGCAAACCTGGACACTTTCAAGAGTAATAATTATGCTGGGATAAGAGGTATAAACTAGGACTGTTTCACAGCTATAAAACTATATGATCCTATTCTACCAAACGGATGCAACAGCTACCCCTTTGCAGGGATGTGGAGCTGATGAAAGTCCAGGCGTGTTCCTATTACCTCTGCATGGCCACAGGGGATCTGGGGGCTAATATACATTGATCTGAGTGAGGCAGTTTTGCACCTCCCCCCAGAGCATTTTAAATTGGTTTGAATTTGGGAACAGGGTTCCATATGGACAGAGCTGGACTCTGACAGCCTGAATATATTTACTGAAGACAACAAATCATTGACAGACTAAATGTAACAGAGGAAAGGCCTGGCCTGCTTGTACTCAGAATCTGACTTTGTAATTGTAGCCTCCTTTAGACAGGCCTAATCAATTAGAAGACGCTGATTTTAACCAGTTGCAGGCTCATTACCCTGCATTCCAGTTTGTGTTGATGAAAATCAGTTTCAGCCTGTGGCCTGGAACTCATGTACAGCACTTCCTGCGGTCTCTTATACAAACACATCAAAAAAATTTTTTATTTGGAGTTGCCCCTCTCCCTTTTAAAAGAAAAGCACTTTGTGAATCATGATTAAAATAGAACAACTGAAAGAACAATGGGTCTGGGGCCCATACCAGGAAACATACATGACACTAAGGCACATGTACAAAGTCAGAGCTTAAGGTAGGGAGGGGTTGATCCAGGTCCAGAATCCAATGAGTCCACTCAGTTATCTCCACAGAATGGAACAGAATGAACTGAGTTCTTGAAAATGATGATCTTTCAAAGAAAATGCGTGAAATAGGAAAGAACCAAGGTCTTAGAAATACAGAGGATATGTATCTGAGTAAAGTCCAGACTTTTCCCTGAATGATCAAATAGAAAATAAACTTGCAACTAAACAAGGACAAGTTTCCTTAGGAAGCTTCTAGGAGGGAACCATAGGACACTATGTTTAATTTTGATATGTGGTTAGTCTTACAAAAGTAGAAGGTGGGGGAGTGTGCGGTGGAACCACTCAAAACCCCACCTACATTTCAAAGACCAGTAATCAGTCCAAAATATGATATAACTATGAATCATACCTGGCTGGTTGCCTTTTGCGGGTTTGTCAAGGCAGGAAGTCAACAGGAAGAGAATATCAATATACACAGCTCTGGTCACCAAACATGGATTTTGCCTGGAAAGGTAAAGAACAGAAAATAAATTGATATTTCCTCTCCCTGAGGTCTGGGTCACAGAAAAGAGAAAACGGGTATTTTCTACCAAGCACGTCATGAGGCTTAGGGAGTTGTAATGGCTGCTGAAATGATGGACAGTCACCAATGGTGAGAACACACTACCAAGTCAAGTGAGAAAATGAAATCCTAGAGCATCTGGTGGAAGTAGGGGTTGTGTGTGTAAAAAACAGACAAAACTCTATGCTCTGGCTCCAAAGAAAATTAACTGAAAACAAACAAAACCCAGTATCCTGTCCCAGTTATTTAAAAACAAGGCAGGGAGGGGGGAATATGACATGATATTCTATTATCTTCCTCTAAACTGGACAAATTTAGAGGGAGAATCATTAGTTATGAATATCACTGATCTAGCACTTTGGAGGAGGAGAATTGCACTCACATAAGACAAACCATATTTATGGACTTAAAATAACCAGCTGAAAAAACAAACACATGAAAGCATTAACAAACACGGCAACAGACATTCCTTTCCGAATAAATGAGATTTTTTTTTTCTCTTTTCAAAAATGGAGCAGCTCTTTTTACTCTTTGAACCACATGCTGGAAAAAGTGGGCTTGGACTTAGAGGGTCTAGATAAAAAAGAATGAAGACTTTCTTCTGAGAACAGTGCTGAAGGTCCCTGGATCTGAGCCTTAGTTCATACTGACCATGAAAAGGGCCCAAATCTCCTCGGTGTGCTAATAATTCAGAACAAGCAGTAAAAACAGTAAGGACAGATCTGGGTTTGAATCCTGGCTTTGCCGCTCAGTATCTGTGTGTCCTGAATCAGGTTCCTGAGCTGTACAGTGGAAACACTGTGAGTCACTGTGAGCACTGGAGGTGGTACAGCAAACCCGGAACACCCACCTCGGTACCCGGCCACGGCAGATGCCCTGTAAGTGTCCGGCCCCTGCCCGGCTCCACTGCCTCCAATACAAGACAAGGGAACGGCACAAGTTCTGGCTAGTATATTTTCGTCTGGCTTGATCCCTCAATCCATCCTTCTCACTCCCTATAAATGAACAGTTTTACCATTTTCCTAAAGTTTATCCCACTCTATCCTGAAGTGCCTATATCCTAGGGATATGCACGATTTGCAGGAAAAGCAAATCAGATACTTTTTATTTAAAACAAAACTGTCTTATGTCAAGGTCTCTCTGTGGCTGACCTGCCTCACTTCTATCCCACTGACTTGCTTCACTTACAGTATCTGCTTGTTCCCTGACGCCTACCCTATCGTAACTATTAGTTTATGTGTATACCTCACATTTGGCCTAATTTCATACTTATGCCTGGCTATTTTTAAAAATTAGTTTAAAAAAAACAGGTAACACATGCACGTGGTGTAAAAATAATTCAAACAGTACAAAAGGGTAGGCAGTAAAAATTAAGTTCCTTTCCATGCCCCAACCCTCTAACCACATGTTCTGTTCCCCCGAGGCAACCATGATTACTACTTTCTACAGTATATCCTTCCAGGTACATTCTATTCATTTACAAGCATCTATCTATAGCTACCCACTTGTTTATTTTTATGTAAGTAGTGGTTTACTACATATTAAGTTCTAAGCATTAGTTTTTTTCCACTAATATATTTTAGATGTCTTTCTATTGGAAACAGAGATTTGCCTCATTTGTTAAATGGCTGTGAACTGCTCCATTTCATGGATATACCTGTCCCCTACTGAAATAATTCAGATTAAGATACTTTGCTGAAAACAGTGCTGTAATAAATATATATGTACATTAGTTCTGTGCATATGATTGAACTCAGAGGAGAAATTCCTAGAAGCTCAATTGCTGGATCAGGATACTTGCACATTTAAAATTTTGTCTGACTTTGGTAAGATACTCTCCAAAGAGACTGCACTAACAGTGTGTAAGAACCCCCCTCAACCCTGACCAACACTGTGCATTATGAAACTTTTTGGCCTTTGCCAAGACCATATGTGAAGAAGAGTATCTCACTATTTTAAATCACAACTGTAAGTGAGGTTCATTATCCCTTCATATGCTTTTCAAAAACGATATCTGAATTTCCTTTTCTATGAACTGTATTCAAACCTCCTGTTCATTACATGTTGTTGGTCTTTTCCTTATTGATTTGTAGAAGCTCTTTGTATATTAAGGAAATCTGCCCTTTGTCACGTGGGTTGTAAATAAGCTTTTGCAGTTTATCATTTGTTTTTTCACTTTATTAATTTTTTCAATTCAAACATACTAGTGTTATATAAATATGCTAATATTTTAATTTATGTTTTCTGGGTCTTATGCTCACAAAGTCTAACTCTTCTCCAAGACAGATATAGATATATATATTTTTAATTTCCCGTATTTTTTCCTAGTACTTTACAGTTCCATTTTTTGTTGTTGCTAACATTTTGATCTTTTTGGAATCCACTCCCCTCCCCATCTTATCCCTACCTTTTGTCTCTATCTAATTTTCTTCAGGTCAGTCACAACTTGACCTGTGATGTTGAAGAGTCCACAGTCTGAACACTTCTTTACCAGTATCATTCCCAGTTCCAGCACTTCCACTGTTTAACAGGTGGAATATTCCCCTGCCCCTACTACCCCCAAAGAAAGGGCTGTTCAAGAACGCAAGCAAGAAAAGCCAATGCAAGGGGTTAATGAATTTATCGGATATAAAGCATGGGGCTGAATAAATAAACTGCCGGCAGATAGCAGGTGGAATGCCTCCTGGGCATCCAGCTTTGAGCTCGATGCTGGGAAGAGAAGAGACCTCAGAGAATTCTGTCTAGTTACAGAGACAAAAATAAAGACAAGCTTTGGGACGAGATGTAAGGAGTTGAGAGAAAGAACATATTAGGGTGGACTGGAGAAGTAGCAAGAACTCATAAAGATGTAATTCCAACTGGGCTGTGAACGATGGGAAGAATTTAGATAGAAAAAGTTGATAAGGAGGGGCATTCTGAGAGGGCGCAATATGATGTGGGAAGAAATTAGTTTGGCTTGTCCAGGGACCTGGATAGACCAGCTTGGGAAGATGAGAGAACGTACTGAGAAGGCGGAAACAAGAGCGAGGCAAGCCACGCTTTCAGGAGATGGGCTACTCCATGCTCACTGGTGCTCCTTAGTGCAAAAATGTACTGCCAACGCCCATTTGGCCTTCTAGAGACCGAGCTTCTCACCCTAGATGTTTTTGTGCTTTTAGAGCCACACAGAATCAAAAAGGAAAGTTTTGGGGAAACCAATTTTACTTTCAAGTCTGGTGAGAAGCCTAGTTTCCATGAGATTTTTAGCAAAGTTAATGTATTTTTAAAAATTCCTAAATGAATAGGGGGAAGGTTGGCAATCTCTACAGCCCCATGCCAGGCCAGGCTGAAGTGTTCTGCATCTTCTTTTGGCCTGGCATAGGCTGCCGACCTTGCTGGCCTCCTGGGACGCTGCAGGGACCACTCTGACTGCTCCCATAACCCTGAGGCTCTAGGCCAAGTCTGATGTAGTCAACAGATCATGGGAGGCTCCCTCAAATGCTGCTGCTTTTGATTCCAGAAGAGAGCTCTGGGGCCACAAAGGAGTCCATCCATGGCATCTCCTTTGAGGCTGACTCAGAGAGAAATTCTGGCCTGGAGCCCACTGTTCAAGGCTCCACCCTCGAGGACAGCCACAGCCACGGCCACAGCCTCATAACATCCCTGTCTGGAATCAGAGTTGGGCTTCACTCTGAACTGGCTTCTAAGTCAGGAAAATAATTTTTTTCCTCTTTTTCCCTCACTATTACTTGGTGTTTGTTCTGACTTGGAAATGGTACACTGTGAGTTCAGGGTGAGCCAGAGGTTTGTTCTCGGTCTGTCAAGCCACTTGGATGATGGGAATAAAATCCTGGGAAAGAGCAAGCCAGCTGGACAGGAAACCAAGCCACAGGGTTTTGGTGGGCTTGGGGATTTTTTTTCTTCCCCCAGATGGAAAAATCCTGGCATGGGGCATGGTATAATGAAGATTTACAACGTTCAAAAAAAAAAAAAAATCAGGAGTGGTCAGGGTCTAACAGATGGGCTGAAAAACAGCATAATAGTGGCTTCAGAAGGAGTAGCAGGAATCAGGTACCATGAGGACTAAGTAGACATATATAAAATGAAAGGAAGGGCTTGTTAAAATTCTTTCTTCCACTCTTTTTATCATTTGTCCCTTGACAAATACCCACCCGAGAACCTGATCTCTGAACTTCATTAAACCTCCTGCCCTCTATCCTGGAAGCTGGGGGAGGCAGAGGCAGGGCAGAGAGCGCCAGGCTTCCCAGACAAGTCCACAATGGCCCTAGTGTCTAGAGGACAGCAGGAGCTCTTGAGAAGTCTGTGATAAATTATTCACTTCTTCGGTCCCTTCCGGAATCCCAGTGGCTGCAGAGCTTTTTAACTGAAGCCCATTCATTCAGAAAACATTTACTAAGAGGCTACTGAGAGCCAAGAATAGTGCCAGGGTATGGAAATGTGAAGATGAAATGATTCAGTAACACAGTCACTGCCCTCAAGGAACTTAGAGTCCTGAATAGTGTTTTCAAACAGTAGGTTATGACCCATTTTGTTAGTTTTGAAATAAACTAGTAGGTGGTGACCAGCATAAGAGAAAGAAAGGAAGGAAGAGGAAGAGAGGATGGAGGAGGAAGGAGAGGGCTAGCTAGGGAAGGGAGGGACGGAGGAGGAAAGTATAGTCAGAGTGCCCCAAAGTATAGGGGTAAGCATCGTTCCCTTAAATTGTTTGTTGTATACAGGATTTCTATCAAATCCTTGCCCAGAATGGATTTCTAATAAATTATCTTTGATATAAGATGTAAATAATTTATAAAATATAATACTTCTTAAGTAAAAATATTGATTGATTTGGTCTAACTCCTTTTTTTTCCTTTTCCAGGTAATAAGTCACTCTCCTTATGCTGAATATCAATATGGTCAAGCCTAATAGTAAATGACGGTAGAGGTGTCGAAAGCTAATGCC